ATTGTCCACACTAGTTTCTGTGAATTCCTCAACATTTAACTATTAACCCTTTCATTCCCGAGATCTCATTAGTACTTCTCTTAACTGTCTCCTATACAACTCTTAGGATGATAGTTAAGAGAATTTGGTAATGGATACAGATACAGATCTTTATTGAAGCTTCCTGAATGGGTTTTTTTAAGCATCAATACAAATGGTTAAAGAAATAAAACTAAAATTGAAGAATGTAAAACTATAGTTACAGCTCTCTCTCTCTATAGATATATCAATCAGAAGAATAAAAATAGTGAATAATAAAGTTAACCTTATAGCAGCTTAGTAAACTGACGCTTAAATTTCTTGGAACATTTTAGAGACATAAGATTGCTGCTTAGTGAATTCCACAGCTTTGCTCCTCTATAAGCAAAAGACCTCTGACCAGTTTGAAAGGTGGCAAAGAGGTGTATCCAGGGTACTGGCTGATCAAGTTTGCCTGTCGTGAACACAGAATGTAGCCCAAACTTATTTGCAAGGTAATCTGAGGCAAGATTATGAATGCATTTGAAAATAATAGTTGCATCGTTCAATTAAAGTCTATCTTTATAGAGTGCCAATTAAATGATCTTAGTCCTTCAGAAATATGATAATAATAGATACACTAAGAATCCCCTAGTTGATATATGTCTTAATTCTCATCACTTGTCTACTTGATGCCGTATTGATATTGAGAGGAGAATTCTGTCTTGGTCACTCATAGGAGTTAAAAGAACAAGTTTATCTGCTCTTATAACCCCCGGATACTGTCAAGAGAAGTTACATATAAATAACTTCTAGTAGTTGAAGTCTTTCACATACAGTGCATTGCAACCTCTCCTAATGAGGTCAGCAGACAATTTACGGTTGACAACTACACAAATCAGGATTCTTTTACCTGGATTTCACACAAGTAAACTGGTTCCAATAAATTTGGCTGCCCAGTCAACATGCATGCTAGGAAACAGCGACGAGCTGTAGGAATAATTTGCCCTCCACCACGGTGAATTGCATCTGTGTGAAGAGTGACGTCCTTGATATTAAACCTCACACCGCGGACGTTCTCCTCACAGAGGGGACCTTCCTTGGTAGCCCACTGGAATCCAGCTACCACACTATCCTTGATTTCATTCAGATATTGCACTCCCTTGGTTGTGTCAATCACCATGTTTGGACCAGTTCCCTCGGGTCCAAAGCACCAAATTTTACGTGCCTCTGTGACATCCCAATCAAAGGTATCACTCAAGTAGCGGGCACGGGCTTTTATCTCTTGTCTGGAATGCACATCTCCTTTGTCTATAGCTTCAGCAAGTCCATCAGGGAAAGGTTCAGCTGTCATGAATAAACGATTGTGCTTGTTTGGCGACTTTGAAAGGCACGTTTGACTTGACTCCGCTGTAACTGTTTCACGGTACGATACCACTGGCTCTGATTTCTAAAAATGCAAACACATAAAAATTTGAAACATAAATAACGATAAAAAAGGTTATCTGCAAAGCACCGTTTACTTTAATACACCGTATCACATCTTAAAAAAGCACAAAAATGATTGAAAAGCTCACCAAAAGGTAGAAAGAGCACAGCTAGGAACAACAGTGGCGTGTACTTCCTTTACATGGAATTGTAAAAACGTGAACCCAATTTCCCTAACCTTTTTTCCCTCCTTGTTTCTCACAGATTTTGGATAGGCTGAAAGAACCCCTTTCAATTTTTTTTTTTAAAACTCAAGCAAGTAGTACCTTCAAGGGAATACAAGCATGGTCCTCCTCCAAATCCTTCAAACAGATTTCCAAATGTAATTCTCCAGCTCCTGCCACAATGTGTTCACCACTTTCCTCGATTGTACACTGCACCATAGGATCAGACTTAGCCAGTCGTTTGAGACCTTCCACCAACTTCGGCAAATCAGATGGGTTCTTAGCCTCGACAGCAACACGAACCACTGGCGACACTGAGAATTTCATTTGCTGAAAAACAAGAAATTCAATGGCAATTCCGAAGAGGGGTAGTTGAGAGTGGAACTTTATAGCTACCATGGACTGAGGTTCATTTGGCACTGGAGATCAAAGAATTGACTGCCTAAATCTCCATGGCCTGAGTGGCCTTTGATTCACTTGTGAATACTTTTCTCCTGTGACTGTACAGTATTCTAGCACTGCTACATTTCTTAGCCCAGTCACTCCTACAACCTCATTAGTAATTCTCCTTACTGTCTATCCCTAACTAATATTTTTTGTCATTCTTACCACTTGTCTGCTTGATAATATAAGGGAAAATCCTATCTTGACCACTCATGGGAGTTAAAGGGTTAATGTAAACCCTAATGAAACTAGAAAATCCACTGTCTAGAACTTAAGGTTAGTCTAAAGCCACCTCTATTGGAGAATTGGAAGGCAATTTTGAATACTTTTTGTCATTTACAATACTAACCTTCAAATTGTGGGCATGTTCATAGGTCGTAATAGTGCCAGTTTTGACCAAGAACTGATCGACACCAACCAAACCAACAATGTTGCCACAGGGAACATTTTCAATGGCTTCAATATAGCGCCCCATCATCAAAATTGTCCTAACAAGAACAACATTAAAAAGGAAATGAACATAAAAGAACATAAAAGCTCAAGAAGTTTAGAGCTCAAAGGAATAATTAACTGTGACCTACTGAGGAGTTATTGAATAAAGCACTAGCAATAGTAACTATCTTCCCCATTCAACATGTGTTCTGGTTAACTTTTTACAATTTTCATGTACACTGTAAGTGCTACCATAACTTCCTGTCAAAGAGTTGCAAAATAACCATAGCAGAGTGGTGTTAATAAACTCCTTTCTAAAGTTGAGTGACTGTAAACTACAGTGTATAAGTGACATCCCGAGTTTTGGAACTTACACTTTGGAAAAAAAGTTTTTGCAAAGAAACCACAAGTGAAGTCTTAGAGAGTTCCTTTATTTTGGCTGCTTCATTGCATGTATATGCAGGTTGAGTCACTAAGATTGAAAACCAAGAATACTTTCTGTTTGCAAACCATACTAACCTATGCAGCTTGTACACCATTTTTTGTGGTATGCATCTATGTAGTTGTGTGGTCTCACACAAATTTATAAATTGGTGATTAAAATGGTCACAGCTTTAAATGCTGAATGGTTTTGCTGAGTAAAAATTTGTAAAAAAAAAAAAAAAAGAAAAAAAAGAAAAATAAAAGACCAAAAGCAAACTAACAATGACAATCTGATTCTTCCAACACCACCACCAACCTCTGAATGCTTTTGTTGTACAAATCTTCCTTCTTTCCAGGTACATAATTTGGACCCATGATGCGCACTTTCTGTCCTGTTTCAACAATTCCTGAAAACACACGTCCAAAAGCATAGAAGCGACCTTTGTCTACAGTTGGGACCATCTTGGAGACATACAGACACAGGGGGGCCTGCAAAAATCACACAACCCAGTTTAAGTGAGATAAGAATTTCAATGTGGAGCTTATCAATAGAAGTTTTACTAGTTCTGTTTCCTAGAGCTGGTTACATATCTTTCCCTGAACTGTTCAGGTAAATATGCAAAAATAAAGGCATTACAGTTGGTTGTGTGATACCTAAGCATGCCACAAGTAGTTTCATTAGACTTTAAATCACCATCTGTTTCTAAAAAATGTCTGTGTTCAAGTTCCATAGTAATTATTAGCTCTTGCTGAACATGTAGGATTTGCTTTGGTTTCAGGGTGTTTACTTCCTCAAATAAAAAGAGAGATAATTTGTCCACTTTAAAAGTATTGCTTAAATAGATTTCCAACCTCAAAAACAAATCTTTTTTATCACTAGCTGACAAAATTGAAGAGTTTTTTGGTGTATGAGCCATCTTATATCCAAAATGCATTTTTAGGAATAACTGTGAATTGGGCTTTGCTGACTGACTGACTGAATTTGGTGAAATCAAAGTTGATTCACTGCCCCATCAGATCTTCCTTTCTTTTTAAATTTCCTTGATGACAACCAGTATAGTAATGACTTTCAGAAACCCCGATTTAGATTGAGGTTTTGAACACAAAATTTACGCCAAATCTGAGTTGAGATTAAGGCCTTTCATTAGGTACACCTTTTGCTGTTCAGTATGAGAAAATATGCATTCATTTGCTTGGAGGGGAGAATTTGTGTCATTAGAGATCATACACAAGTTCTATAAGCAAAATAAAATAGAAAAATGAAACTTAATTCCTTAATCACCATTTCCCTAGCATTATCACCACAACAACTTAAATTCCCTTATATGTGGGAGAAGAGGGAGGTTTACAAGCAGACTATTCATAGCAATTAAATGTATTTTCAGTATCTGCATACTTGTGGGTCACAGTTCTTAATTCCCAAGGCAACTGGATCATCCTGAGGTCCTTCATAGAGCAACTCCACACGGTACTTCTGAGCTGTGACTGGGGATGGCAGGTGGATGGTGATCATCTGTAGCAAGGCATCACCAGCTGGCAGCCATTTCTGCATGACCTTCTTTAACAATGGTTTACCTTCCAGATCTTTATCATCACCTGTCAGCTTGACATTCAACTTCTCCAACAGTTTTGCAGTTTCCTCTTTCTTGAAATTCATGATGGCATCAAATACCTTAAAACAAAAACATAAATAGAAAATTAAAAAAGAAAAGAAAAAAATTATCAAAATTAATTATCAAAAGTTCTAACTCACTAAATTGTGTTTCCTACAGGATTGTTATTCATCTTTGATATACAAGACAATCATTATTATAATGTTGAAAACCTATGTTTGAGTACCACTACTTATGCAATTGCAAGTGAATCACAAAAATTGTTCCCTAACTTATTCACTCCAATGAGTGACCAAATTAGAATTCTCCCTACAGTTCTGATACAGTTTAGGCAGAAGGGTGTTGCAAAGAATAAAACATATCAATTAGTGGATATTGTTTGATTTAACACCAAATTCTCAGAGCTCAAATTATATGAATGCATACCAGACAGAAAAGAGAATTGAATTTTTGATCTTGGGAGTAAAAGGGTTAAAAGACCAAAAACTAATGATCTGCACAATTTAAATGCCCCAAAAATGTTTATGCTTGCTATATGTACACAAAATCTGGAATGTAACTCATTGGTTTCATTTCCAGGTTAGCATCAGACATATTGGTTGGTTGTCAATGCTCTTATGATCTATCTTTTGATTTATTCATCACACCATGATTCAATTACTTAGGGAAATGACAACCTTTTTGGCAATTTTCTAGGGAATGACCTTCTAGACCATCTAGTGGAGGAGAAGCAGAGGCTCCCACAAGATTATCATTCTGTTGAAGAAATTATGCCATGTTTCTCAAGGAATCGAAGTGTTCTAAGGGCTACTAGTTAAATTGTGCAAGAGTAAAAAAAGTTCACTGCTGGCTGGCTGTCTTTCCCCAAAGACAAACATTAATAGCCTACGAAACTTAGGTCTCTATCAAAGCACTGAAAGTCATTTCACCTTGTAAATTGGGTCAAGTACAAACTGATTGAACCCACGCACATAACCATCGCCACCAGTCTTGTTCCACTTTTTATCTTTTGCACTGAAAAACTGGTCACCCCAAAGACGTTTCATAAACTTTGAGGGTGGTTGCTTGAACTTAGCTGCATATATCTCGGAAAACTGTTTAAGGGTGAAGGCCCAGCCATGGAGTCCTGAACCAAAACCAACAGTACCTTTCTCTGGAGAAACCTTCAAGAAAATCAGAAATAAATTAAGTTCAAACAGTTACTTCAATGCAGCTATGAAAAGGATGAATTTACCTTTCCTTTTACATATCTCAGGTAATAAAAATACAATTAGTATTTTGTAAAACAACTTAGAAATTCTCTATTAGTATAATCATCCTTGATTCTTTATTATCTAGTTTTATGACTCTTCATTTATAGAGTTTTACTCATGTTTCTACAGAAAATTGAACAAAAGGATTATCCTTATCAGTAGAACATCACTTCAAACGAGATCGAATGTTTGTTGCAGAATTATCATAGCGAGATATTTTAAAAACAACCCAAAATACTTAAGGCACCCTCATTGGTAGTTACATGTACTAGTGCCTTGGCTGTTGTCTTTTCCCATAATGCAAGATCAAAGCAGGTAATCCATAACAAACCTTCTTCCCCATGTTAGTCTTACCTGTATATTCCCCATAGGACCACTTTCCTCAGGACAATAAGTTGCCACGATGACATTGGTACTCTCCACAATACGTTGGAGAGTTTGGTAAAGATCTTCCATTTCTAGCTGCAGTTCTAGAAGTGCACGGTCCATTTTGTTCATAAAAAGCACAGGCTTGATGCGCTCACCTATGGCCTGCCGCAACACTGTCTCAGTCTGGACACAAACACCTAAGCAGGGACAAGAGAAACTCCTCATAGTTTAAAAATTGAAATGCTACTTATCATTCCTGGTTAAGTGTTATGCTTTTGTTTTCAGCAAAAAGCATTTAACATTTGCCTTGTGTTTGCCTCAACCTAGAAAAACATTTCCAAACATGCTAACAATGAGGATCTGTTTTATCAATCAAGAGCTTTTTGTTTGGTGATCATTTCCTTCACTCTTGAAAGGTTACTGTAAGATTCAGGGGAGATGTTATGAGGAGAAATTGGATGTAAGTCACTCTGAAGGTCAAAGCATTAACTCAGTTAACTTCAGTATATGAAGAGTCCAAGTTCAATAATGCAAGCTAGGATTAAGAGAGAGTTGAAGCAAAAAGAACATCCCAAAAGCTAAGACCTAAGACCTAAAAACTAAGACTTGAAAACTAAAATCCCTTATTTTCTTTATTGATAGTGATAAAGGATGTGATCAAACTCATCTGTCATTGAAATCTTCACAAGATCATAATAAATATAGAAAATAGAGGGGTCTTTGTTTTCTGATTCCAGGTCCTTGGTTTTAGTTCCCAGGGGTCTTCGTTTTGGCTACAACCATTAAGAGACTTAACTAACCCTTTGACCCCTAAGATTGACTGCCATCTACTTTCTCTTTATGGTATCACCTCTGAATCAAACATCAAGGTCATAACAAGAAAGGAATGATAGCTAACCAAAGCTCCTCACTGTTTGCAAATTCTCCTTATTAACACCAGAGGAAATGTGTAGGAAAAAGTGTGGAGAATATGCATACTAATGTTGGGGTGTTAGGGCTAAGATAATGATGTTGGTTGGGTTTTGATTTCCTTCCACAAGGATTCTGAAGTGAAGAGAACTTAAAATTTCATCTTTAATACCTACCACTGACACAGTCCACTACAACAAGAGCACCATCAGTCACACGCAAAGCAGCTGTAACTTCTGATGAAAAATCCACATGTCCTGGTGAGTCAATGAGATTGATCAAGAATCCCTTTCCGTCACTTTCACCTTGGATGAATTCCATATCTGCGTCTGACAGTTCATAGTACATAGAAATGGCCCTAAGTTGGAATAGACATTTGGATCACAAAATTATCACCTAGCACAAAGGCATCACTTTTGTCTTGAGGTATCGCTGGAGGTAGATTGACAGATACCTTTAAGGTATCAGAGATTGAAAAAGGAGCAGAGATAGAGGCTAAATCTCGAGAGAGAAGGAAAAAATAAAAATCTGAGACACTCTTTTGGGTTCAGTATATTTCCAACAATCTCCAAATTTCGCCAGAATTAAGCGAATACTAGCTAAGAATAAAGGTAACCAGTCAACTCGCCGACAGACCAACTCGCCGACGCCAACTCGCCGACGTATAAAATCGAGTAGAGACGTTGGCGAGTTGGTCGTCAATCCAACACAACTTATTAGAAGTTAAACATACAGAAAAGTAAAGGATATTTAGTAAAAAACACTGGTGAACATTGGTGAACATCAAACAGAAGCTTAA